CGTGAAAACTAAATTGAGGTATCCTTGAGGCACTCACGAAACAAAACGTGTAATTTAAGCCACTTAACTATATCCATTCAGCCATTACAATGCATTTTGTCCTCAAGAGCGGAATAAAGACCACTCGGTGACTTACTATTACTGCAATAAGGCTTTTATATCCACCCTGGTCCTAAATGGGTAATGAATAACGAACACCCAGCCAAAATGTACTGCTTAGTGCCGGATAGTGATTTTCATTTTGCTACCTTCAAGTCAGAATCACCTTCCACACGAACAGTCGCTTGAGGGTAGCACAAATTCATTTCAGGCAAGCGAAGTGGTTTTGCTTATTTGGGCTCTGTGTTTCCATCGCAATGATGCTTAGCAATCTAATCGGGATGTTGTCAGCCTAATACACAGTGCAAAATATTAGTTACTGGACAACGATTGTTATAGAGGTCGTCAGTTTGTTGAAATCTAGCCACACAGCAATACCAATCATAGTACGAACCCAAGCTAGAAATGATGACACCTTGTTTTAAGTCTATGCATATATATTTATTCACGGAGGGTGCCCTCTGCTTATTCCTATGTGGCGGCGTATGCAGTCAGTACAACGATGACGCAGAGCCGCATGGTCACAAAGCTGCCACACCTGTGCTTGCAAATCTCCTTTGTTAACACAAAAATAAGCCGAGAAACTGACAATAGAGCTGCTGAGCAGCGCCATGTTCCACTTGTGTAAGAACTGAACCGAGGAACCTCGGGAAGGTAGTGCAGTTAAATTTACATGGCTTTAAAATAGTGCTGTTGCTAGAAGCATCCTAAACGTTGGGTGGCTAGTTCACTGAAATTGCCAGTGTAGGCGATTTGCAGGATGATATTGTTTACTTGACACGTGGTATTCCTTTTTACACAAATAAAGTGGTCCAGTAGGCCTAAGCTTAGAGGTGGCATTTCAAAGTACTCAAATGGACTCGAAAGATTAGACTTGGTTCTTTCAGCAATCGACGCCGAATGCGATTCTCCATTGAAGCGACCAAACCATTTCATGGAACAGTCGAAGTAAACGGCACCAACTTTCAGGGCACCTTTGTAAGTACATGCCAGCAAACCAGTGGCCCTTGCCTTCTTGTGGTTGGCAATCGCACTATCCAAACAGGCAAGCACCAAGTTTGTGTAAGCGCAGTAGCAAACAACGGTCAATCCG